TGTTCGTATACAAAGAGACGGGGCTGCGGAGATGGCTCAGCAGTAAAAGACACAGTGTTCATGTGGTGTTTGGTTCCCAGGACCCACACGGAAATGCTCACAGCAGCCTGTGTCTCCAGTCTAAGGGTACCAACACTCTCTTCTCACTTTTGTATGCATTGCATTCACTCCTGTGCAGCTCCTTGACACAGAATGAATCTATGTTTAAATTAGCCAATACTGTTTGGAGTTGTTTGTTTGTTTTTACTAATTGGCAGGGTTTTAGGATGGTGCAATCACTTTGGAAAGTTTAAAAGAATCTATCAATCCTACTTGCTATAGATCCAGGATGTTGGAAACTAGCATTCTGCTGACCCCACCTCCTAATGATGGGCGGGACACGCATGGCCATGTCATCTGCTACAGTCACTCATCACAGGGCTGCGTAGGGGACTCAGTTTCCCTTTTAAAGCAAGCACCACACACCCTCTCTCCCTCTCTCCAGGAGAACTGGAAGCTGGTTCTCAGAGACACAGGCACCCACCCCATTACACAGCAGAGTGGGTCCTGCTCACAAAATGTAATGCAATGGGAACGTCACTGATGTGGGCTGGGGTGGATACACCACATGGACTATTACTCAGCCTGTAGAGAGAAGGAAACTGTGTCACACTCTACAAGAGGGATAAGCTGGGAGACTGCATGCTAAGTAAAGCCAATGACAAGAACTACATGATGTAGAACACTGTCCTCTAGGGGTCACACGTCCCTTGGATGCTATTCCAGAGGACCTGGGTTTGATTCCCAGCACACACACACACACACACACACACACACACACACACACACACACACACGGTAGATCAAAACCAACCTGAACTCAAGTTCCAGAGGATTTGATGCCTTCATCTGACCTCCAAGAATGCCAAGCACACACATGGTACACAAACACAGCACACATGTGATCCACATGGCACGCACATGGTACACACACGGCATACACAGGAGTGACACGTCACCCTCTTGAACTCTTGGTAGGTTTGACACTATGCAGGAAGGAAGCCTGCACTAGGCAGAGCCATTAATTCTCTGTAGTGGAGGTGGGGAAGGTTCATGGGGCCTTGCCCCTCTTGGGGGATATATAAGTGTTAACTGTTGCTGAGGATGGACACAATTTTTTTTGGTTGTTTATTAGTCACTTTTGCCATTGTTGTTACAAAATCCCAGAAGGAAGGCTTCTTTTGGTTCACAGTTGGGCTGTACTGCCCATCATGGTGGGGAACCCATATTGGCAGGACAGGAAGGCAATTGGTGGCGTGTGTTCGCCCTACAGAAGCAGAGAGCAATAGATCCTGTGCCCAGCTTGCAGTCCAGATTATGGGATGCTACTACCAACATTAGGGTGAGCTGTCCCATATCGGTTAACTCCATCTGTTCTCTCACAGACACGCTCAGAGGCTGTCTCTCCGGTGATCTGACAGCTTTCCAAGTTGACAGCATTATGGGGGATGTCCTTCTGTATATATGTTTCTCTTATTGCTTGATGAATAAAAACACTGTTTGGTCAGTAGAGACAGGAAAATAGGTGGAGTTAGAAGATGAGGAGAATTCTGGGAGAGAAGCAGAGAGAGGCACCTCAAAGAGATGTCATGTAGCCGCCAAAGGAGTAACAGGTCTGGGCATTCTCCAGACCACATGGGAATACATAGATTTATAGAAGTGGATTAATAATTAAGAAAGAGCTAGCTAATCAGAAGCCCTAGCTATTGGCCAACAGTTTTATAATTAATAAATAAGGTGGCCATGCTCCTGTAAGAAACTCCAAATGTTCTCACTGGTTCACTCCTTATCTGGGGCGAATAGACATTTGTTCTTCTCCCCAGGGAAGCTCACACCACACCATATAACGTGATCAGAGTCGTGGAAACAGAAGGTGGTGTGGTGTTACCTGGGCCTGGGGGAGAAGAATGGGAATATTCCGTGGGTACAGACTTTCTCTGTTGTGAGGGGACTTAGTTCTTCCTCTTTTGGCTAAGATCAGTGCAGTTTTGCAGGATAACAAAGCTGGTTCACAATGGCACAAATATGCTTAAGGCCACTGAACTATGCACACTTAAAAGTGGTCAATTTGCAGAATTCTTTAAGAAAAATAAAAGATGAGGTGTGGTGGTACATACTTGCAATCCCAGAGCCCAGGAGGCAGAGACAGGCAGATCTCTGGGGCTCAGGACTCAGCCAGTTGAGTCTACGTGGTGAGCTCCAGGCCAGTGATGCTCCCTGTCTGCAAATAATGACATAGATGATTCCTAGGGAACAATATCCAAAGCTATCAGCTGGCTTTCACACACAGGTAAGCACATGCATGTACACTTGTACATGCATGAACATATGTACAAAAGATCAAGTTTTGAGCTACAGGAGTTTTATAAAATGCTTTTTCCCCCCTTTTAATCCAGCAAAAGGAAACTGTGGAGGTCACACACTAAGGAGAGGCAGGGATCCAGTTTCTACACCGGGCAACTTCAAACCCAAGATTCACTCTGAGGCTATGATTTCAAATCAGAAAAGTAAGAGAACTGGCCACTTAAAAAAGCCAGCTGGGCCTTTCTTGGCTCCCTCTGTATTACTCTCTAGAAACTAACTGGAAGCCAACAGTTTTTCTAACTGTATTCCTCAATGCTTGTTTGTGCTCATTAATATGCAAATATATTCCCAGCCGGCTGTGATCTCATGAATTTTTAACCAGAGATTAAAATGTTAACTAAGGCTGGCGATATGGGGGATTATAAGTATCACTTAATCCTTAGATTGGAAATCTCCAGCAAACAACCACCCAAAGATCCTCAGAGTAGACCTTCAACCATTGCATTGTGGGTAACAGACACAGTTTTTAATGTATCTATTTGGGGATCTTTAAAAACAGTGAAACCAGAGCTGGTAAGATGACGGCACAGTTGGGAAAGTGTTAGCTGCACCCGTAGAAGGACCTGATTTCTACCCCCATAACTCTCCTTAAACAAGCCAAACGTGCTAGCCTTAGCCCATGTCTGTAACCCCACACCAGGGAGACAGAGCTAGGTAAGTCCCTGAGGCTCGCTGGCCAGCCAACTTAACATAACAGGTGAGCTATGAGAGGGCACAGAGGGAGGAAAGGTGGGGGAGGAACTAACATAAATATATCATAATCTCAAAAATAAAGGAAAGTTTTTAAAATTTAAAAAAGGGAGACCCTGTCTCAAAAAAACAAGGCAGATGGCACCTGAAGAATAACACTCAAGGTTGACCTCTGCCCTTTGCACACACACACACACAAATAAAATAAAATAAAATAAAATTGAAAACAGTAAACTCAAAGACACTTCTTGTCAAGCTTGACCTGGAGAAACTCAGATCTCCATGCTCACATGGCGAACACATTGCTGACAGCCATCACTCTAGCCCACAATGTTTTTTAGATTAATAAACTGCAGACATTCTTAGCACTCTCCAGAGCCTGGGGCATATTTTACCCTTACACTTCATCTCCAAATCAACTTAAAATCAGGCAGTGAGGGCAAACTGGGTGGCGCGTCTGAAGAACCAAGGGTTGCATGTTACTCTAAGTGGTGCATAGCTGTTGACACAGGACAGGGCAGCTCTCTAGACTTCGTGGGAGTGTTATTGAAGTCCTCAAACCCCCTCGGAATGAACTGGGTGGGAGCATCAGCGCCTCCCACGTTACAGAATCATCATTTGAAATTTTATAAAATTAAAATTTCTACTGTCCGATTTTCTTAATTTTTTTTTTTTTTTTTATCAAAAGGTTAACTTATTTTCAAAATTGACTTTATCCAAATGTTATCATCTTGGATATCCCAAATCCAAGACTTCACATTTCTATAAAGTAAATATTGCACATGTGCAGAAGTTTGGGTTTTTGTTTGTTTGTTTTGTTTTTGGTATTGTTTTATTTTCTTTTTTCAATCTCTTTTAAGGAATGTATCTTATTATTCTATTTATTTGTTTTGGGTTTTTTTGTTTTTGTTTTTTTTTTTTTTTTTTTTTTTTTTGTTTTTTGTTTTTTGTTTTTTGTTTTTGAGGCAGGGTTTCTCTGTGTAACAACACTGGTTGTCCTGGAACGCACTCTGTAGAACAGGCTGGGCTCGAACTCACAGAGATCTGCCTGCCTCTGCCTCCCAAGCGCTGCAATTAAAGGCTTGTACCGCCACTGCCTGATGCGTGTTATTATTTTTAAATTATGTGTGTCTGTGTCTGTGTTGGGGCATATGTACATGAACGCGTGTCTCTATGAGGCCACAAGAATGTATTGGACCCTCTCAAGCTCGACTGACAGTCGGTTTGTGAGCTGCCTAATGTGGGTCCAGGTCTGATGCAAGAATAGCATGTGCTTTTAACAACTAAGCCATCCCTCCAACTCCCTGATTAGCTCTCCTGGTGTCATGAATGAATCTGTATACTGTCATCTTTCAGGAGTTTTTGCATCTCAACACATTCAACCCCCAATATATCACCGCCTGAGTTCCCTGACCCTGAAGAGATACCCACGCCTTTCCATGGCTGTGTGTGGTTTGATGTTGCCTCACCAGCACCTTCTCTGTGGCACCAGAGGAGCATTTGCTCACTGATGGTCAATCATCCAAAGTCCACAGAGGCCAGGGCAAACCCTGCATGTGCTGATATACAGGCACATACACATATACAAACACATGTATGCACAATCACATACCTACACAAATACATGTGTGTGGATGAGAAGATTGGACCGATGGATGGGTGGTTGCAAGAATAGACAGGCGGACAAGTAGGTGAATGACAGACAAGAAAATATTCACTCCAGATTCCAGATCAGGGAATTAAACAAATTATAAAGGCACATGTGACTATCCCAAGCCTATCTCATGCCTGACAGTGTACTAGCTACTATCAAAGGCAACCTGCACACTCTTCTCAACATCAAAACAAAGACCGAAGGCAAGACTTTCATGTAAGGCTCCTCCAATGTGGAAGAGGAATCCACTTACATATATTCCCTGTGAGCAGAGTGAACGGCAGCCGCGTTGCTGTAACGCCAGAGGACAATGGCCGAGGACAGCACATCCAGGATGGCGTCAAACTAGAGAAGGAGACAGTACATTAGTGGCTCTCCAGAGTCAGCACAACCATGAGCACACAGGGCAACTGCACAGTGACCCAGAGAGTTTGAATGAGCATCCTGAAGCACATACACTTCTGCATGCTTCTTGCAGCCATTTTGAACTCAATGGAGGAGTCCTGGGCATTACACACTGCCCTGGTAACAGGACTGTGGTCCTTGTATGGTTGGCTCTGTTCTCAGAGCCCTGGGATCCTGGCAATCTGGAGATAAGGGACAGGATATAGGAATGAGAGGTACAATTTTCTGAAATGCATAAAACTGCTTTTTCCTACAACAGGCAAGGTGTGTGCATGCTATGTACTTACTTCTGGATGCATGTCTATGCTATGTGAGCTTCTAATTCTCTCTTTGTATGTGTTGTACATGTCTGGTTGTGTTTATAGATTGTATATGTATCTCACTGTGTGCTATATACTGTATATTTATTCCCAGATGTGTCTGTGTTCTGGGTACATGCATGTGTAATTTTCTGGACAGACTGAATCCTTCATAAGACTCTTAATAGAATTTGCAACACCCTCAAAGCAACACCCCCCAAGCCTCAAGTTCTTACAACAAAGGGCAGATGTGGGTCTGGGACCCAGTACACAATGCTTTGTGTCTGTATAACAAAGAGGGAAGGAATTCGATTGAGTCATCACACATCTCAATTTTTGAGAATATACTAGCGCTGGCCCTCTCCTGAAGGGCTATGAAGAAATGTCACTCAATTTTTCAACATACCTGCCTATGTTGACCTATTTCCACCAGGAGGCAGGCTGAAAACTTAGCTCCCCTTAGCAGGGCTACAGACAGACTGACCTCTGGTGTAGGTAACCCCAATCCATCTCAACTCCCAATGTCTTTGCAATATGCACCACCCCAGTGTGCCAAGTCCACATGCAAACAGGAAGGACATAGAGGCAAGCCTTCCCCAAAGAGCATCTCAAACAACCCCTTCACGGAACATGTGCGCCCTGATGTATATGTGGGAACCATCCAGTCTTGATGCCATTTAATTCTATTCCATTGTCACAGAAGCTGTTTTCCCTAAAGTTGTGCTCATCTTGTATCTGCTAGGCACAAGCAGCCACCTATTTCGAGACTGGGTGTGAGCCAGCGGCAAGCTCAGGGAAAGCGTGCAGAACTTTATGACGGTGAGTACATTTCAGGCTACTTACTGCAAACCCAAAGGCAGAGGCGCTGTACCTCATGACGGAGACAGCTAGAAAGAAAGAAAACACCATTCAGATTTGACAGTCTCGCGGGTTATGTGTTTTACTTGTAGGTTCATCAACACATCTGATACACCTTTTAAACATCGGGGGAAAGTTCCAAAAGGGGGAAAAAAATTAAACTCGATGTCTAAAAGTTTAAGAATTCAAATTCTACTTGCAACACCTCCCCTCCCACTGTATTCTGGAGCATCGAAGGGCCAACTTCAGGGAAAACAAACAATTAAGCATCAGTCAGTCACATGGCTTCTGTGTCTTTGGAAAATGGGAGACTGAAAGCTGGGAACTGGGAACTAAATTTTCAGTGAAGCTGAAACCTGAATCCTCCTGTTTCCTCAGTTGCTAAAACTACAGGCCTTCACTATCAGGTCTGACTGGATTTCTACTCTGAATCCATCTGCTCTCGCTGGCCTTGGCACAATGGTCACAGACAGCCCCTTCCCCTCATGTGCCCCAGAAGGCCACCTGCTTGGCAGATGTTAAACTGACTTCAAAATGTCTTCACCTAGCCAGGCAGTGGTGGCGCATACCTTTAATGCCAGCACTGGAGGCAGGAGGAACTCATTGAGTTGGAGGCCAGCCAGGTCTACAGAACAAGTTTCAGGACAGACAGGGCTACAAACAGAGAAACCCTGTCTTGAGAAACAAAGTCTACACTTGAGTCTTTTTATGGAGAACCACAGATTTCAAAATGGGAGATGCCCAAGTTATTACAGTGAGAAATAAAAAGAACCTCACCTGAGAATTGTAATTAAACAAATGCTGACAGCTGGGAAGAGGGCTTAGTAGATTTAAGGCTTGCCTTGCAAGCATGAGAACATGACTTTGACCCTCTGAGCCCAAGTAAAAAAGCCAGGCATGGAAGTGTGAGAGGCAAGGCACCAGCAGACAAGACTAACTCCATTTTAGGCTGGACACTATCGTGGGAAACTGCTGACTGGAACCTGAATCCAGTTCCCAGATTAAAAAAAAAAAAAAACCACAAACAGCTGAAGGTTGCTTAACCTCAGCCCTGGGGAAATAGAGATGGGTAGACCCCTGGGTCTTGCTGTTAAGCCCACTACACTACTTGGTAACCTCTAAACCAGTAAGAGACCATCTCCAAAAAAACCACAATATTGGTGATTATTAAAACCACTTGCTGTCCCCCCCCCCCAGAGGACTAGAATTTATTTCCTAGCGCCCATGTCCTGTCCTGTGGTTCACAATCTCCTGTTATTTCCAGCTCCAGGAATCTGACACCTTCTTCTGGCCTCTGTGGGCCACCTACACGCCTACACATGGAGAGACCTATATACCACCTACAGATAGAGAGAAATACTATAAGAATAATTAAAAAAAAAAAGGTGGCACACCATAAAAAGATATTTTCTGGCCTATACATGTGCATGTGTTTGTGTACATATGTATACACATATATGCAGGTATATTCAAATATAAGCATACACACAAGTGTACACACACACACACACACACACACACACACACACACACACACACACAGGGGACAGCCACTAAAGGAAGGCTTCTCTGACTCCATGGAGTCCAATGCCATGTTTCATTCTCAGAACTTCCTTGGAAAGTGAGTTAAGTCTGCCAGGTGGACAGATAATGGATAGCAAACATGGAACATTAATATCACTCATGCCCAGGGCACTGTGATCCAGTGAGGTCCTAGTGAACTCAGGGTCCTTCAGAGAGATGTGCTATTTACTTAAGAAGCACCTTCGCCTAATTCCTTGATAATATGCAAAGAGCAAAAAAGCCAAAATTGCATGGAGAGTCAAGAGTCCTCTGAAGGGTCCTCACAGAGGCTCTGCACAAGCAGCTTCCCACTGCAGCCAGCTCTCAGATCTTGCTGCTAAACAACTGTAAACAGTCATCAGCCCAAGGCCCACATGGAAGAGCTCAGTAGCCTCCGAGGAATTTTCAAGAGTGTCAAGTAATAAGTTCATTTTCTTTGGGCCATAACTGAATCATAGCACATCCTGAATCCAGGTCAAGAATCATTTCAACAGAAGTGGGTAGATAGGTTTACATGATCCTGTTTCCATGTAAAGAAAATCACACTCAAAGGGCTTTCTTTCCTTCCTTCCTTCCTTCTTTCTTTCTCCTCTTTTCTTGTATGTGTGTATACATATTTATGTGTGTAGGTACGTGAGTGCGTGTGTGGAGGCTGGAGGCAAACCCCAGTATTATTCTTCAAGAGCTGTCCACCTCATTTTTTTTTCTTTGTTTGGTTTTGGCTTTTCAAGACAGGGAGGGTTCTCTGTATAACCCGACTGTCCTAGAACTCACTCTGTAGACCAGCATGGCCTCCCACTCCCGCCTCTTTCTACCTGCTGAGTGCTGGGATCAAAGGCATGCGCCACCACTGCCACCAGGCCTACCTTGTTTTACAAGACAAGGTCTCTCGTTGGTCTAAAACTTGCCAGAGAGTCCAGGTTGGCTGGTCAGCGAGACCCCGGGATCTTCCTGCCTCCGCCTCACCCCAGCACTGAGAGTTCAATAACCCAACTTTGAGTTCTTCCAGTTCTGGGCATCAAGTTTAGCTCCTATTGCTGGTGGAGTCTGCACTTGACCACCTGGAACCATCTCCCCAGCCACCAAAATGAAGGGTTTTCACTGAGGCATTTCCTGCCTTCCTCGTGAAAGGGTGGGTTGTGTTTGGAGAACAGGTCTGTACCAGGGTGACCAATGGAGGCAGAGATGGAATCCCGGGTGTTCCATGCATGCATGCGTAAGCACAGCCCGAAGTCACCACAGGGCCAAGAGATGCTGCCTGTAAGGCGCTAGACTCAGTTGTGAAGGACACGCATGGATCGTGTCAGCCTCAGTCACCCTGCACACTGAAGGCCCGTGAGAGGGCTGTGCGAGCAGCTGTGAAGCGGGCGTTCCCTATGAGGGCCTGCCCTCACGGCGGTAGGGCCATGGAGATGAAGGGAATCAGAACTCTAAGATGCCACTGTTCTGAACTATTCGCCCATGCTGGGGTAGACTCGTCAGCGATGTAACTACCTGTACATCACACATGCTCTCTGAGGTAACCCAACCAAGTCATGGTTCACCACGGCGGACTTGGGTGGAATTGCTTTTTTTATTTTTTGTCTTCTGTTGGTCCCTCAAATGCTACTAGTGGTTAATCTTGGAAAGAAGGGAATATTTAAGGATTCCCCACCCCATCCCACCATTTTTGGTGTTTTCTACGGCCATCATAAGTAATCGTTCAAATTAGATTATATATTTTATTTGGGGGAAAACTGGATTATAGTACATAAAGATAAGCAAAGGTCTAAAATGAATTAGCAGGAGAGTTCAAACACATACCCAGAAATAGAAGGTACTGCTCGAGAGTGCTTCGGTCTGATAGGAAAATACAAGGCTATGTATACCACTATTACATGTAGGTTTCTGGGTCCCATGGTCTACATGAGCAGGTTGCTATGGCTCAGAGTCCCCCGGAGTATGATTGTGGGCCACATGAGCCAGGCAACAGAACACCAGCAGAACATCACTCCTTGCCAGACAGACCTCCAGCCTCCCACAGTTTGTGTGTCCTAAGGCAGACTGTCATTTACATTGAGGGATTCACTTGAGCTATACCCCAGAAGCAGGCACACAATATAAGTCTTAATAAATATTTGTACAGGCCTGGTTAAAAGACCAGATTTCTTCTTCTTCTTCTCCTCCTCCTCCTCTTCCTCCTTCTCCTTCTCTTTCTCTTTTCCTTTTTTTTTTTTTTTTTTTTTAACTAAGTCAAACCAGACCAAAAAGCATGTTGGCTGGAAATAAATTCAAACAAAAAGGCAGCTGGAAAACGAACAGGACCCAGGAGACCCATTGTTAAGGCCAAGCCAAAGGCATACCTGCAGCTGAGTAAGCAGGGGCTTGGAGAGAGGGGTCAGCAAAGCAGGGACAAGGGGCCTTGGAAATGCAGAAGGGAGCTTGCCAGCAAGGCAGCCGAGAGCCAACAGCATGGCCCCCTACACAACACCCAACAAAGACTCCTGTTTCAATTGCCAGTGAGATTTCCAGAGACAATGAGGACCCATCTGTCATCCTCTCCAAAGTCAGGCAATAATTATCTTGAGCCTTAGCACTCTTTAGCAATACCCCAGGCCCCGCAACACCTCCGAGTTGTTAAATTATGTGAGCAGTAGAACTCTGTTAATAAATCAATCCCGGTTTAATTAGACTGTCTCTATCATGCAGACGCCTAGCAAACACCTCCCCCACAGCTGGGGAGCAGCCCACCCTGGAGAGCCACTTCTCCATCACCAACCATCAGGGGCAGGCGCTCTCTGCTCTTGTTCCCTGCGACCAGGGGGTTAACAAGAACAGTAGTCTTCTGTGTTCTAACTCACTCCAACAGAATCTGTAATAGCGTCCACACTCTGCCCCTCTCAAACACGATTATCAGCCACTGCAAAATTAGTGATTGGATCCTTGCGTCAGTGGAGAGGGGAAAACTGCTTAGCACATTCGTAATGCGATCAAAATGTGTTGTATGGAATTCTCAAAGGAAAAAGAAAAAAAAATGAGTCCACGTTGTGTACAGCTGGGGACGTGGCTCAGTTAATAAAATACTGTCAACAACAGCAGGACAACCTACGTTCAATGCCCAGAGTCCACCCATGTAAAGAGGCTGGCTGTGATGGGCGGTATATTCTTGCAATCCCAGCACTGGGGAAAGGAAGACCAGCAAACACTTGGAGTCAGCCAGCCTGGCCTATTTGGCAGCTCCAGGCCAGTGAGAGACCCTGTCTCAAGAAACAATGGGAATGGTACCTGAAAAATGACAACTGAGGTTGACTTCTGATCTCTACACACATGTGCATAATGTATATCCCTACTCACAAACACATGTGAGCACACACGCGTGTGCACACACACACATGCTACACATACATAAACATGCTACACACACAAGAGAATTGGCTTGAAGAGGTTACTGAATGCTACCCTTGAACTTCTGCATCATCGATAACAT